TTATTTGAGTAATTAAAAGATTAACTAACTTCCTTGTCGATATGCTTTCTGATGATTACTTTATTGTATTGCTCTCGTTCCCGTCTTTGTTTGGCTATAAGTAAACCTTCACGATCCTGTAGTTTTGAATTCAGTTCTGATAGGTTTATTTTGCCTAAGCCTAGAGATACTCCACGAGCTGTAGCCAACATTTTTTCCAATTCATTTTTGCAAAAAAAAAGAAACAACTGATCTGCAAATTCTTAGAGCATTTCTTCTCAAAAAATGCTCTTTGACATCATCGTAAACTTTTTATATTTCTGCGAAAAAAGCTGATCATGCACTTTTTTTAAATATTGGCTTTATTTCAAAGGACAGGTGGTGTATCGGTCATATTTAATCTGAAAGATCATAATATCATTTGATAAGCTAATAAACTCTAAAGAATATATGAGCAATGAACGCTTAAGATTAATATATAATCTTGAACTGCGAAAAAAGTTTATAAAATTGGAGATTAATTGCATTCAGCTTCTGATAAACTAATAGGCTTTAAAAATTACTTCATTAACTTGTCTGCTCTTTCTTTCATGAAAACAACGCTGAAAACATAAACAAATGTCATTAATCTTACGCGTGTTTACCTTGCTTTCTCTACTGGCATTTTTCATTATTACGTGAAACCTAACTTTATTTATAATGATAGCTTGTGTTAGCATATTTACTACTTGTTAACTAATACCAGTCATGTTGCTTTAATAAAAATATTGAAATAATCAATTTAAATTAATAAAGGAAAGTTTATAATGAGTATAATTTAAATGGAGGAAGAGACTAAAGAGCATAAAGTCATAATTTTTGATAAAGTTTAAACTCTAATCGTTGGTTTAACTCCTATATTATACTCTAAAGAGAGTTGAGATGTTTTGCATGGCACACACCTGGCAGAATGCAGAAAGAATTGGCTAGAAATATACATCTGTTTAGTGAGATTTCGATTTATCCAAGTTCATTGAAGCTTAAATTTATTCTGAGTTATTTTTGAAAGAAAACGTAAGAAAAGGTCAGGAAACTGAGCGAAAGAAGTTCCATACACCATTATCGAAACAATTCAAAACAATTTTTCGTTTACAATTTTGCTGACAGGGTGAAACAGCAGTAATGGTAATGATGTTAATAGTATTTATCATTATTGAAATTCTTTACAATATACATCTTCTCCCAGTTTAATACTCATTACCATGGAAAAATGGATTAGTTATGATGAGTTACAAAATTAACCACTTGCATAAAAAATTTTTATTTATCCTGCATATCTTTCCTGTGGTTTTTTCAAATTTTCAAGACATATCCATCTTGAATTTGGTATGAAAGAAATAAAGTATGAAATCTTTGAGTATTTTCGACAAGAAAATAAGGAAAGTTATACTTTGCTTTTGCTGGCATATTAGATAATTAGCTTTGTACTGCATTTGAGTTTATTAATCATTTTTTATTCATCCAAAATCATTTTTGTGCGAGCACTTCTCATAAGCATTCGAGGTATACAAAATATTTGGAAAGGCTACCACCTATTCGAGAATACTGCAATACCTCTTCAGTAAAAAGTACTTTTTATAGTTAAAAAAGTTCTCATCATCCAAAACTAACCATATATTGCTTTTGCTTGATGTGAAATATTATCAAAATCAAATGAATAAAGTTAACGAATGATACTTAAGGCTGTTGATCTTGTAAGTGCTGATCCGTAAATTGTATTCGTCAAAATATAATGATGGTTCAAAACCCCAGTTTCTTATTTTTAACAACTGCTTTGTAGATAGACAAAATTAAAAACCTGTATTTGTTAACTTGAGACTTGTTAGAGAACACAAGAATACTTATAATACATCGAGCACAAAATATCGGAATAAAACTGCTGTCTAAAATATTGCAACCGACCATATGCATTTGCTGAAGTTAACACTAAATAGTAGAATTCAATTTCATTTCAGACTTAAAACTTAATAATGACTGAAAGTCTTTCGAAGGGCAGAAACAATGGATTCATCCGCTAATTTTTAGCTCTTCAATTTTTTTTAACAGTTACAAAGATCAAAAATCGTGATTTTGGCGAAAAAAGCTTTAGTGAAATTACACAGATAGTAGTAATACACAGTTTCTGTTATCACTACTTGACGAGTTCAGCAAAAGATTGCTTACATTTAGAATGTTTTTCGCACCCTTCTGTTTCTAGCAGAGTTTTCATACTAGATTTGAAAATATGAATATTCTTAAAACACAAACTGAAATACGCTTGAATAATTTTTATTTGCAATAATAGTAGAAGCAGTAGTAAAATAAATTTTGACAAATTTTACAAAAGACTTTTTATCTAACAATGGCAATTTTAACTACGCAGTTTCAAATTGCAGTAACAAAATTAATTAAAGATATATACCATTTTTGTAAATGTAGTTTTGTACATTTGCATACTAGCAGAGCATAGATAAATCTTGTGTACATTCTATGAAATGAACAGAAAAGGATGAAATGATATACTTAAGTTCTCAATTACTTTTATCTCTTTAACAGTTTATTATGTACTACAAGGGAATGAAGTCAGTTAGTCTTAAAAATAAGAAAGTTGACTCTCACAGTTCAAAAATACGAAATGTAAGCAACTTAATGCATTCTCAGCTGCATAAATAAAACTCGAGTTTTTATTATTTCACGACTGTTAACAACCGGATAACTCTACTTAAATAAAGTAGCAATAATTATAAATGTAAAAAGCAAGACTTAATTGACAAAAAAATTTTACTCAAAGTATCAGGACCCATTTGTTCGGTTGTTAACGAAGAATTTTTCCAACTGAATTCAGTTTTTGCTCTTTCTTCAACACGCAACTTTGATTTTAAAAAAAATTTCTACATCTTACACTCAACAATAATTATTTATGGCATTTTTTTTCCTAATATTTCGGTAGTAGGAAGCGAGAGTAGTTTGCAATTTTTAGACTGTAAGGAATATTATGGCTGTAAAAGACTGAGTACTGAAATTTACGGAAGTTTTTGGGCAAAGGGACATTCTTAGGTCTTAAAAGTTCACTACTTTAGAAGAAAAGTTGCATGCAAAATCTTGTGACGAAAAAAATTGTCTTAAAATGTTGAAAAAACTTCAGCTTCTCAGAAATTTTGCATATTCGCATTGCAATTATTTCTTTTTGTGAAAATGGCTGCAGCAGTTACGGCTTGAACAAGATTATTGCTCCGCTTTCGTATAATTTGACAAATTATTTCGAGTAAAGGGTAAGAATTTTCTTTGAAAACCACGAATTGAAGGAAAAGATAAATCGGCTTAGATGGAGTAAAAATAAAAACGTTAATACACCTCTGCATAAGGGTTTTATAACTATGCCTTTACTAGCTAAAGTAATGAATCTCAAGTCGCGATATTCATTTTCTTCATAGTAATGACTAGTTCCATTTGTAGAATTTATAACTTCTCAACAATAAAGATTAGCTAAATTTTGAAGTAACACTCAGTTTAATCTGTACTAGTCTCTTAGGTTTAACTGAGTATGCTGTTAATCTGATATTATGATGCATAGGCCTTATTTGCATTACATGCTATATTTAGGCTCTTTATTTTCAATATACGACCCATTCGCTCTTAGTCAAGTTGAAATGTGCTCAGCAATTGAATTTTGTCATCATTAAAAGCATATTAGTCTTGCTCGCTAAGATTAGCGCTTTTTTTGCTTCAACACTAAAAATACATGCTGAATGGATGAATGGAAGACCAGTCAATGACATATGACTTGTGGATTGAATTATGATTGAATTACTACTGACTAGACTATTCACAATGCAATGGCCAAACTTAAATTTGTTAGAATCATGTGTGAAGTTATCCACTCGAATAATGAAGCTATTTAAGATAAAAATTCAAGGCACTACTGTATCAAACATATTGAAACGAATATCAAATGAATCTGCAAGATCAACTGAATTTGAATTGATATGAATAATCTTCGTGATAATTCATGTTCAGCAAGCAATTCAATTTGCTATAATGTGGTGCTATTATACAGCAACTTAGCTTGAGCGCTTACTGATTTGAAATCTTTATTTAACGTTAAATATTTTACAATAAAAGTTTTTTCGCAGAAATGTAACAACTAGCATCGGTATGAATATTTTATACGGCACAAAAATAATGAATAGATTACAAAAATATTGCGAATTTTTTGAAGCTACATTGAAAAATAAATACTTCAATTTTTTGAGAACAACATTATTTACTTCGAATTGATTGGTAATATTACTTAAAAAATATATACCTTTCTTAATTATAAACTTCATCTCTTCAAAAATTTTGCTTATTCGCAAAGGAAATATTTAATTATAGTTAGTTCTTTAGCCCTTCGACCAGATATAAATGTGTGAATGTAGAAGTTTTCGGATATGAAATTTTTACGAGTATTTGAGGACAAAAGTTGAATTCTAACTTATTTTTAATGCATCCGCTGCATTAATTGTTGAATAATTTTTTAACACTTTTAATTAATATTTTGTTTGAAATAAATTTGTAATAACAGAAAAGCACTTGCATAATACACAACGAAAGTCACAATTTCATATGCTGTAAAATCAGGACTTACAAGCAAGAGTTAAGTAATTTATCGGCAGTTAATAATTGAATTTAACATTTTGCTTAACAGATCTATTTATATTCAATTTTGATATCAGAGAGTATTTATAAGATTTAAACATTTTATTATTTATATTATGTTTCAAATAATATCTGTATAATCAGTTAAAGAGAGTGGGATAAATATTTTAAACTGCTCTTAGTAAATTTCTTTAGTTCATATTTTTCATATTAATAGATCATTAAAATTATGATAATTAAATTAAGAAATATCTTAAAATCAAAAAGAAAAAGTTAAGGCACATGAAGTATGTAACGAAGTATGCGGATTTCACCAAAAAATTGAGCTGTATTGAATTTCTGAGCAACAGATTTTGACATACTTCTCACAAGGCATCATTTAGTCGTGAAGCTTTCACTTGTTGATTGTTCAGTTTTTCCGAAAACATTCTGAAGATAAATAATTAAGACATATAACAAATATACGATAGATATGAATGTTCTTCAACATTTATTTATTTTCAAAGTGAAAAATTATGTAAGCAAAAGCATTACTAAAAATACTTGCTCTACTTATCCTGAAGCAGAAAAATTACTTGTTGAATTTAAATATGAAGAACAAATTGGTCTCTCCATCAAGGACATGCACTTGTTCGCATTTCCATTTAAAACTTTGCTGAAATTCATAGTAGTCTCAAATTTTATATTTTACTGTAAAATACTGCTCAATGTCAAATTTGTTAGTCTTATAAGAAATCTTTGAAAATAAGTCTGACTTATAAAGGAAGTAGATTTTATTTTTGATCAATCACTCAATCATTTACGAAGGTTTTCATATTGATTGCTTCAAACATGAGATGCAAAAATTGATTTTAGTTCTTTTATTAAATTGATTTTCGTTACTCTGCAAGTATTTCCTTAAAATTTGTTCTATGCATAAATCCAGTGAAGTTTTCAAGCACACTTTATCACATTAAATTTTGAAATGAAGTAACGAAGATGTTTTCTCAATTGAAATTGTTCAAGATTTTAAAAGTTCTCCAATTTCAGCCATTCATTGAAAATATGAAAATTTACATAGTATTCCACAGAGATTATATTTAGGATGAAAATAAAAAAAAATATTAAAAATGATTTTTTGTATTAACATAAAATATATGGTAATCATCACATACTTTTGAAAGACAAAGCTACAACTTCTACAAAATAGCTTTACATTTTGCCAACAATATGGCATCAAAATTTTTCCTCTAAAGTTCTCCTCAAAAAGATACAAAACTGTTTTAAATTCCGTAAAATAACAGAAGGATAATTCGCCTACAGAAAGCATGTTTATAACTTGATAAGAGAATATATTCTATATTTTGGTTCATTGTAAGATTGCTACAAACTAGTAGAGTAATACATGTAAAATGTATACGAAACTTAGTTGTCTATGTGAAAAAGCCAGAGAATATTACGTTCCTAAACTTACATTCTTACTTCTCAGCACAATCTCAATAGTTAGCACTTCTCCAATTGAAACTGCTTCCATTTCAAAAACGCTCAACTGTAAAGTGCTTGAATATCAAATAAATTATCCTAAATAAACAGATAAAAATAAGTAACTGAAAAACTTAATACATGATAAAAAATTAAGTGTTGCTGCTTTTTTCTTTCTCATTTTAGTCGGTAAGCCTTCCATTTCTGTTCGCTCAATTAAAATTGTCCAACAAAACGTCAAAGATTTTTACATAGTCTAAAATGTTTTTTTAACAAATAATAAATTTATAACGATTTTAACAAACTTTCTGGGCCTGGAATGGATCCGTATCACCATTTGTCAACTTTCGAAAACCTGTTTCACCTTTGCTTCCAATTAACGTTAAATGCACGTCAAAATGTCCGTTTGATTCGCCAGATTTTATCGTAATAATGTAAACAACATCTGCAATTGAAAAATCTCAACAAAAAAAAATTAGCAAGTAAAAAAGATATTAGTTAAGTCAACTTGACTGATGAATTCTGCATTTATCATTAATGTCAAGAGTGGTTTTTAAATAACACTATCATAAGTTAATAAAACGGAGACAAATTTAATGCTTTATTTAATCAAAAGCAGTTGCAAAAAAGTTATTTTAAGAAAATTTTTTTTTTTGATCACTTATTAGTGCTACAGAACTTACTCGAACTAGGAGGAATATCTGGCCAAACAGCTGGAAATTCATAAACCGATTCAGATGTAAGTATCGTATTCACAGCTGGAAATCGAACTTCATCTCCGTTCAGAGAGTCGTGAAGTTTCATCTACAATGTACATCATCCGGTAATCTTTATTTAATCATAGAGCTCGAAATACTTGAAAAGCACTTATAATTCCTTTATGTTTCAAAATAATGGCTTCTGACCTTTAGTATTTCAATCATATTGTGACTACTTGCTGGCTTGTAATTTGATGATGTATGATTAAGTTTCCGGTCGCCACTGACACTGACTCTAACTTTGGTAATTATTGGAATATTCGTTGTCTTCTGCAGCACAAATTATAATTAATAACTGATTATTTTCAATAACCCGAATTTGGTCATGAGTGGAATATTAATTCAAATATTATTTGCTTATAATAAATGTAGTCAAAATACATATTTGTCTAACTTCTTTCTCATTATCATCACTGATTTTCGATCTACCTTGTCAAATGTAAGTAAATATAAAGATACCTCAAAATTGATAATCATGTCAGTCGGTGTTGTACTGATGATAGCCATTTCCACGCAGTCAATTTGTGAGCAAATCATAACTTTAGGAACCAGTGTACTTTCTTTGCCAATAGTCATTGATAAAATCCAATGTTGCTGCTTCTTTGGTGAGACTTTTTTCTTTCTCATTTTAGTCGGTAGGCCTTCCATTTCTGTTTGCTCAATTTAAATTGCTCAAATTTAAAAAACTTTAAAGATTTTTATATATTTAGTACAAATGTTTTAAAAAACAAAGCTAAACTCTTTTCAACCCAAAATTTAAAAAATTAATAAAAACATGCCAGTAAGCAGAAGCTCCATGAACATGCTTTCTGTTTGTTCGTTCGGTTCTTGCATATTCGTATGATTTGTATTTTCCAAGGATTTTACTTGATTAAATGATAATACAAAGCGATATGGTGCATGATGCGATTCACGTATGGTCACTTTGTCGGTAATCCAATCGCCCGCCACTGGTATGCTTCTTTTTCCTAGCCGTTTATGATAAATACTTTGTAACACCTGCATGCCTTCGTATATTTCATCGCCTGAAAGTGTTACATAAACAAACTATTTTTTATCTACAACTTAATATTATTAATTTTTTCAACACAGACTGAAAGTCTGCAGTTTTTAGATTACTTAATTTATGAAAACTTCCATGAATTATGTTCATTCCCCCAATTACATTGCTCTTGTCCTTCAGTGATAAGCATGATCACTGAATATTTTACGACATTGCCAGCAGTTTGCCAGTACTTTTATTGGGGTGCTTATCGACTTTTTTCCGTTATTTACATTGACCATAGGTCATGTCCTGGTACCCTCACTGCTTTACAGGTATTTATTAGTTGTCATAAATCACCTTCTCTTGAATTTCTTCTCGAATTTTCACGTCTGATATTATAATATTATATATATTCATATAAATGTAAATGAGAAGTAAGCTTACCTATATTACTCATTTTTATGTAAATTCTTATGTTGCGAATACGTCCCACAGAAACAGCTTCTGCTTTAAATGGTACTTCCTAAATAATAAAATGAAAGAGCAAAAATACCAAGATTTGAGTATAAGACAAATTTACGCGCGATGAAAATTATGTATCCGATATTTTTTTACTTTTTCATTACAAATATAAATATTAATATCTATATTTCGTGCATTTAGTTTGTTAACTAATTAGTTAGCTCTACATTTATTTATTTGTTTGATGTTTCTTCCATAAAGTTTTGACATGTTACTAACGTACTCTGTATTCAGACAGACTTGTTTCATGATCAGCCTATCTTGCAATTTAATATTAATTACTTACCAACGTTGAGTCGGAAGCGTTTTGGAAATTGATAGGAATGAGACCAGTTTCGCCCAATTCACCAAATATTTTCGTGTAAGCGATCGAACCATCCAAAAATGGAATTTTTCGTGAAGTCAGTTTAATTTTTCCTTCATATGAGAATACTGCAAAACAGGATAAGACTTATGGACATCATTCATAAAATCGCATTTTATTTTTACAGTGACGTAATTGTGATAAGTTAACGGGAAAGTTATTTGTAAGCATTATTTTGCAGCGTTAAAGTTGAAACACATAAGTTCTTCTTAATTTGTAAAGAAAATTTGTGCTTTTTTTAAATTCAAATTCAAAATGATTGAGTTTTATTTGTCACTATGGCATTTCAACTCTCGCGCGCTCTCTGCAAAAAACTTCATACTTAATAGACAATACAAAACTCTAAGCAACTACTATAATGATGCACAGTAATTATTACTATTTAAGGGTTCAAAAGCGGCTCGAAAGACTGGAAATTCCCGGAAGGGTTGGGCATTCTTGTCATCAGAGCCAATTTTCATCCATTTTCTTACATATGATACCATATGTTCTTCCGTATCCAAGTCTCTGAGTTCAACATAATCCAAGTAGTAATCTGGCATGTCACCATATCCATCAATTTCAATGCGTATTTTTAGCAAATTCCCAATATCACCAAAATCCACCTCAAATATCGTTGAAACTTGAAAAATTTGCCAAACTAAATCTTCGGACTTTGATGCACTGTTAAATTTAAAAATTTTAACAATGCCCAAAGTTCGAAGATATTATTTTTTGAAGCAGTTATAGAATCACTATCTGCGGAACGAGGTAATCAACAGTTGATCAAACTTTACTTGGACAAGAGATGCTGATGGGACTTTTGCCATACGATTATCATAAATTTTGGATGTTACTGAACAACTGTCGTTGCTATAACCGACAATATTCAAATTTGACGTTGTTGCACCGCTACCATCAGGTTTTCCTGAATGTAAAATGAGTTCCCATCGACCACCTAGAAAAATAAGTTGTTCATCATTACTTAATAACATTAATACAAAATATTTTAATGCTGGAAACTCTTACTTTTTACAGCTAAAGTAATATTTGCAAGAAAAAACGTTAATCCTATCAAAAATATTTTAAATGAATTGCATGTCTTAAAGAACTTGGTATCTACTCTTAAAAAACGCATCGGATTTTGTTCTTGACAGCTTATAATTCGAGAAGAAATTCAAGTTAACTTATGATAAATAATAAATACCTGTAAAACACTTTTGATAGAATATATGAATAAGATAGTTTTGGCAAAAATGTTTATAAGTCTGTCAAATAAAATTTAAAGTTTGAGATTCTGAATATGAGCATTTTTCAAACACAAACGCAAAAAATCTTTCGTTTTGAAAGCTTCTTTCTGAAGGTTACGAATGGTCTTACTGATTCTTGTAAGTGGAATCATAAATGCGCTTATAGTTTTTAAATTGCCAATTTATGAAGTGATAAAAAATGCAAAATTTTATCAATCTATGAATAAGAATTTAAAATATCTGATACACTGAAAGTTAACTACACTTTATGATCCCCGAAATACATTAACTAACATTTATGGTTTCATACTATACAAATGCTGATGATATCCGGATACTTCCAAGTTCCCCAACTTCAATACTGATTGTGAGACAGGAAAACTTACTTGTGGCTTTTATGTCATCATACAGAATCGGAGTCAAGTAACAAAAAGCTGTCGTTTTTAAAATCCGTTCGATTTTCCCATCCACTTGACCACTATCAAGCCATTTTGTGCATTGAAAAAGATATTGTCGTCCATCTGCAATATTTTCAGTCACCAAAATGCGTTCGATATATACTCCTGCACCTGAAATTCATTTACAGTGTTACTACCTCACAGCACTGAAAATATATTCAACAGCTTATGAAATTTATTACAAAAGCACAAAAACTGATAGGTCAATTTGGTTCTAGCAAAAGGAAAATCTCAAAAGCTTAAAATATTCATGATCAACTTTGATCAACCCCCATTAAAAAATAAGAAATACACTAACCGTAACCAATATGATCATGGCCGATAATTATTTTTTGAAGCAAGCCAAGTTTCGCTGATTTAATATGAAATGAATCCATTCGATTTTGTCGAAACTTTGGCTCATTTGTCTGTAACCAGTTTATATACTGAAAACATTACATTTTGGTGCAAGAATTTGTGTGTAATGATTCCTTAAAATAACCTTCATCATTAAAACTGCAATAAAAATTACTTTATGGAGTAAGAATTTTGCAGTCTTAAAGATTGCAAGTTTGCAGCGAGAAATAATAAACGTGAGGGAAAAATATGGTAAGCTTCACGAGATCATTTGTCTATTAAATTTTTTAGTTATTAGTTAATACTTTTACTGATCTGACTTTTACCTATAAGTCACTTTTATCATTTTACGATGACACGTAAGGTAAAAAATGAGGAGAAATAACTGATGCAAAAATTTAACAATTAATTTAATTATTATCCCAAATTACGAATGTACAAAATTCTACAATAATGTCTCAATTTAGACAAATTCATTTGTTGTTGTAATATTGTTTTTCCTTAGTAATTTTAAACGATTTTTACCATTATTGTCATGCCATTTGAACTAAATTAATATTATTGTTTCTTCATTGCAATTTGGTAGTAATTTCAATTAACTGGCATAAATGGAATGGAATGCTCACTAAGTTATGCTCTAAGTTCTACTGATATAGAAAAGTACTAGCGGCAGAAATCTGTTAAACGAAAGTAGAAGAGACAAATGACATTGTTACGCAGTCACGCACCAGCATAACCTTTCTTGGAATTTATTGACCTCTGATCTGTGGTAAATTCCTAATAGAGATTAATTTAAGCCTCTACTAAGGATTAGGATTATTAAGCTGAGGACTTTGTGAACATAATCTAAGACGCATAAACGAAAATTGTTTTTGGTAATTGATAATATTTTTATTACTTCTTCCTCATCGAAAAGTAGTGACTAGATAAAAAGCAGCATCAAACAATATAAAGCTGTATTTTTAATACAATCAGAGTACAGCTCCGTCATTTTGACATTTCAATAAAGTTGTAATATTGTAATGATCTACTAAAAATCGTGATTTAAATAAACTACTGGAAAATGTTTCCTCTAGCAGCGATAAAAGATTCAATTTGTTCTTAAGGAATGAAATGCTGATTAGCAGTAGTTGATAAAGTTTGGTAAATGATTAAAAAAAATTAACTCACGTCTTGTCGCAAAAATTGCTTATCGCTTTTATTTAACTCGCCATACAAAATAATAAACAAATCTAAATCTGTATCAGCTGCCCAACGGTTTCCAGTGATTACCGAAACTGTATAGGTAATGTCTGTAAAATAACATCGAATAACTTGAACGCATTCAGTCATAGATTTTGATGCGGATGAAGTTTTACTGCAGAAGTGCAATTTACTTTCAAAAGCAATTGTTAAAAAATATTAAGTTAAGGAAGTTAAGTTACTTTCTGAATCGTCTGTACTGCTCATGTCGTTTTCATCAAAATTAGAAGAGGGATCACTTGCGACTGGGCAGCCATTGCTTCCGCAATTAGATGTTTGCGATTCCAGTAACTTCACAGCTCCAAAATCAGATTCTGTAGTGGTTACTTGTCGTTCCATTGCTAAAAGCAATAATATTTAGACGGTTTGTCAAATCTGGTCTTGCAAAAATCCTACCTTGAGCCAATTTTTGTTGCTTCAACAATTTCCTGCTATGATGGCCCCGCCAGGATGCCTGGATGATAATTGCTGCTTCAGTTTGTAACTTAAATTGATCGTCTTGCTGACTGTATTTGGGAAGCTCCGTATGACTTTTATGCTCATCTGTAATTCGCACTTTTTCAGGTCATTGTAAATATCACTGATCAATGAACTTTAACTACAATCTTTTAATGTACAATTGTAATTTTAAATAGATATGCATGTAAACAATTTTATGAACTTGCTGAAAAGCTTAAAATCTTTCTTCTTTAATTAAAGATCATAAGTTGAGAGGGTAAAGAAAATCAGCGATCAATGATAGTAAAATTGGATATTTAGCAAAGTAAGAATAAATGATTATTGTGGCATGAAATTAAATTTTAGTAGTAACTTAGTTTTACTTTATTTTTCAATACCTTTGAACTTTTTACGCACAGAGTACCCTCGATAAACTGCTTGAATTTTAGTTGCAGCTTTTTGAACTTCAGATACTTCTTCTGCATCAAAATTTTTATTATGCTCAAATCTGTTGCTGAATGAAGGACAAATGTGCTGAATTTTCTGTTCATCTGTTTCTGTACAGTTCATCTGGAAATTTTTTGTGATTTATTTTCATCCAGGCAATTTCTTGCTTGCTGTTTTTTGATACAGGTTAGAATATTCAAATTAAGGTAATAAACTCCTTTCTTCAACTCTCGATTCATGACAATGTTAAGGAAGCTATTTATTTGCTTCCAGTACTAGAAATTCTTTAAATTGGGAATTGAAGCCAAATAAAATACCACGAAAAGTTAACAAACCAGTTGTCTTCTATTGGCTTCAAGTTCAGTCCCAGAGTTCTTTTCTAGCAAAACCTTTTCCGTCATTAACATTTCTAAATCAGTGTTTTTGGAGGATTGATTACTCTGATCATTTCCTTCTGCAGACAAATTTTGATTTCCTGACATTCGTTCACTTTCGTTCCTTTCATTCACAGTTTTGCTCTTCTCTTCATCATTAGTAATGTTCATTTCACCTTGTTTCTCCACTGATTTTTCACAAAGCAATGAACCTGGACAATATTGCGGTGATTCTATTCGTACTGAAATTTGAATCACTGGTTACTAGTCCAGCTAACTTTCAACTTTTCAAGTACAAGACTAACTGACTTTCCCGGTATGATTTTGGTGAAAGAGTTTGCAATTTATTGATACTGTTCATTCGATTCATTACTGTTAAAGGCATCGTCTTACTGTTGCTATTGGAGCGTTGCGATTGCTCGATAGAATTTTCTCGAGTAGATGAATGTATCGTTTGTTTTGCTACAGTACGTAATTAATTGATAGGAAGTGACTTTAAATGGCGTAAGTTTGAAGGAAAAGTGAGTTAAAATGTTCTAGTCTTGAAAAAAAACATTAAGTTAGTGAAAAGTATTTTGCAAAAATAAAATAACAAAATGGTTTAAAAATTTGATATCGGTCTTTTTACTTAACAATTTGTAAACAACTGTAGAAAATTCACTTGTCAAAGTTCAATCCTTTTTTAAGTTATGTAAATCAGTGTTTCCAATCAAAAATTGATAATGCTGATGGAAAAAAATAGCACACTAGTATTTTTAAGTTTCTGTGCTATTAAAAAGCAACAAACTCACCAATACATGTTTGTGCATTAAAACTTGGCGGTAAGATTTTGGTAGGTGGAAGTAAAGGTGGTAAATGCATCGAAATATTGCTTCCACAAATTTTTGGTCGTTCATTTCGCGGTACAGCGAGCAAACGAGCTTCATTCAGAGAAAAAATATCATTTATACTTATTATTCTTTTACCAGAAAAAGTATGCAGCTTGAAAATCGTCGTCTGAAATGCTGTTAATTCTCCTTCAGAATAAAAGAAGGCAGAATTCTTAGAAAACATGAAGTTGAGTAGGCATTTATTCTGCATAAAATATTTACTTATTGAAGTTCAACAAACTTTACTGCTACTTTTTCAACTTTGCCTTGATATCATGTTAAATGCCTAGTTTACCTGTAATCCTTCTGAAACTTCTTCCAACACTGATTCAATTGTGCGCGAGCGCAATGAATCAAGAGCAACCCAGTAAATTCGCGAAGGTTGTCCATTTAGTACAAATAATATCTAAAATTTTTGTAATTAAGATTTATGTTTACTTTTTAGATAAATCAATCGAATTCGTTAATTAATTAAAATTTGCTTGACAAATTTTTAAATGATATCGTTCATCATAAAATTATCTTTTAAACTTGTAATGATTTGGGCTTGTAAAAACTATAAATTAAGAACAAAGTTTGGGTTTCTTTTTATTTACAGATTTTAGTAAAAAGTTTTAAAGAAGTCAGATTTATATTGATACAAAATTGAAAATTAAATTGCTGAAAAATGAAGCAAAACAATCCAATCATATTACGTAAACCTGTTTTGCAGTTATTGGCACGTCGGACAGTTTCGGCGATAATTTGGAACCGCCGTTTTTTTTCTGCTACAAACGTATTACATTTCGTTATAATAATAAAGCAAATAATAAATTGCAGAAATTCGATGCATTATACTTTTATTATTTCTACTTTTGAGATTCAACAAGGAAACAAGTTTTAGAGAAACAAACTTTTTGATTAAACCAGGCTCTACGATTAAGTTGCAATCCATTCGTACGATTGATTTGACGAATTTTTTTAAATTTCTCCACCATTGACAAATTTAATGGTCGTGAAGTCTTAAAGGATGATGCGACGTATCTAAACTGCTAGACTGAGAAGTTTATTCAATTTAGTATTGACTTTTTTTTGGAAAGTAATAAACATTCATTCAATATTTTCTATCAATTCAGCAATTTTGTCCAATTTTTGTGCTCTTGTATTTATATAAACGTAGTTTATTATAGAAAGGAATTAATTGGACGACTTTGACAGTATGGTTTCGCAGTCAGTTTGGGCGTATCGCAGTTTTTTGTGAAAAATTGCTCGACGATTATTGGTTTATTTTAAATTTAATTTTTCAAAAAAGTAAACTTTAGATTTTTGCCTATTATAATAATAGCTACTATTGTTACTATTTTGATTTTATAATAATAGAAATTGTAACAAATCTTTTTCAGCCGATATGTTATATTTGAGTCAAATCTTTAATTTATTGTGCGTCGTAACAAAAGAACTGTACACTTAAATGAATTCATATTTGCTTCCTATTGTTATTTCCTGCTTGAAACAAAAGTGTCTTCATATTTGTATCAACAGTATTTTGTAGTGGATAAAAATTGATCTGCTGACATTTTGCTTGATCAATAATTAAATTTATTGAAAATGATGAAATTTTTAAATAAAATCTCTAACTGTAATTGATTAGGCTATTTCTCATCACTAAATATTACTATGAAAAGATTAAAGAATAAAAAAATTAATTAACCGCCCATAATGTTGTAGCTGGTCTATATTTTTAATGACAGTTTTTCCACGTGGAGTAGTTAAACGACGTACGCCAAACGGCATTGAAATATTACTATTTAAATCATCTAACAGTGATTCGATCGTCCGATATCGAGCTTTTGATACTGGCACGCGGATACCCTTCAATAATTACCACTGTTGTAACTGATTTCTATTTGTGTTTGGTATGTTTCATGTTATGTTAGATACGGCAGAACAAATAGTATAAGAACTGAATCATGTTGAATCAACTTCATCATGTTAGTTGATAATCTGCTTACTTGGAGCAATGACAGTAGCATTCTAATATTAATGGAAATAATAAAATACTAATAATATAGGGCATTATTAATTTCTCAACTTCTAAATTGTGAAATAGTTTTGTAGTTTTTATTAATTTTTTATCAAATCTTTTGCAAAATTTTTCTAAAACACACGGTGAAGTAGATATCGCCTTCCTTGTAAAAAAATACAATTTTTGCAGAGTATGGATGGTTGAAAGATCGATTTGAGGCCGGAAAATTTCGAACTCCACCATTTGTCAAGTTTGGTGCATTTGAGGAAAGTTTGAAAGGTTGATGATTGAGCATTTGGGAGGTGGATTGAGGGTCAGATGTGGATCGAGATGATGACTGAAAATCAACAGCAAATTAGTTTGTTTTGGTTTATTCATTTCATAAATATTACTGGTATAAAAATATGGAAGCTCAACCAAAAAAAAAAAAAAGGAAAAAGAAAGGATTATTTCTATTTCTCTTAAATTAAATAATTTCAAGAATGGAAAAGTTAAGTTTTCTTATTTGTACCAAGACTATTTGATATCTTTACTACCTCAATGGATTTATGGTTGCAAAGTTACAGTTTTTTCAAGTCCTATGACCTTTAAGGAAGAAATTATTTTGGTGCAAATAAAAGCCAATAGTAATGAGTGCTATCAATTTCATGTAAATTATTATTTGTACTAACTTTGAAGAATCATATAAAAGACAAAAAATTTCAGAAAAGTCACTAATGCAATTTGTTGCCTAAAATTTGTTTACGCAAATAATGTAGCAATCAGCATCATTCATTTCGATAGGCTAGCGTTGACAGAGAAAACTGACCCAAGGTAAAGTTGTAGCAGTATACTCTGCTTCACTCATTTCTCTCACTTTAGTGATGAATAGCGATTAATTGCAATGTCTGAATTTGACAGCATACCTCCATCACGTGTCAAATACGGTAAACCTGTAATCTGCATAATTTTTATGATTTTTTAGCTTTGAATTGTTTTTATTACGAAAAATACTTGACATATTTCGCTTTTATGCGTGCAAAAAAGAATGAGATATCAAAAAATATTATATGAAAAAATTTGTTGTAAACTTATCGAATATTGAAAATCTACCAATTTCAAAGCAATGTTAACTAAATACATGAAGACATTCACTGTGATATTACGATTGAAGAATTTGCTTTCTTTAAAAGTGAACGACTTCTATCTAATATCAGAGTTAGTTTCATAGTATCTTTAAGTTAAATTGGAAATACAATGATTCGAAAGCGAAAATGAATATAAATTTTATTTCTATGATAGCACTCGAAGACAAAAATACTACGCTTCCTAGTCGAATTCATGCACCAATTGAGGAAATTTATGGAAAGGAATTGAAATATTTAAAGAATTATTTTGGCCAATCAAGTTTTGCCAAAAGAATAATGTTTATTGTGGAAAAATTTTGTCTTCCAGCTTCTTTAACAAATATTTCAAATCATTTCAAAAGTAAGACTTCAGCTATGTCTCAAAAGCAACCATATTTTCAGCCTTATTTATAAGAGACACAAAATAACTTTGAGCACTAAAAAATGAGCACATGAATATTTATAGAGTTGTGCTGATATTAATAAATGTATGCTTTAAAATACGGATGCAGAATTGTTAATTAGCATTGTTTCCATGGAAACAAATACTTTAAGTAGAAAGTAAGCTAGACATAAGGAAATGAGATTCTTGCATTAAAGTTTACTTTTCGGTTTTTGATGGTGATCCTTTTGTTACGGCGTAATCAAAAAAATAAAAAGTCTTCACCAATATGAAATAGATGCAAATTTTTATAAGGTAAATTCTTGAAAATAAAACTAAAGTGTGCTAGAAAAGGTTTGTGCTTGCAGATATTGCTAACCAAATAAGTCTAATCATTATAAAAGCTAAAAGTTTTGCGCATTTCTTGTAAAATGCAAACTGTATTCTTCAAAGTTAAATTAGTTACTGCGATCAGCTTAGAGAAAAACTCATCTTTTAATGAGAGAATGAAGATGCAATAAAAGGATTTTTACTTCTTGATAGTTTGTTCGACGTTAAATTTTGAGCAAATTAAAATCAAATATTAATAAAACAGTTAAATTATAAAAGTGTGCTGTACTTATATGGTAAAATTCATAGAAGTGAAAAGACATTTGCTATAAAATTACGATTGAAGAGGAATTTGCTTCCTTTAAAAGTGAAGGACTTTTAATATCAGTAATTAATTTAAATTATTTTTAAGTCAAATTGGAAATGCAATGGCTCACAGTTGTACTGTTTAAATGAAATCAAAATCACTGAAAGTTATAATTTTTGCATTAAAATTCTTGCAGTAAATTAAATATGAATTATGTGCGTCTGAGAAAAAACAGTTCAACAAATTGGAAATAATTCACTGAAAAAAACTTTAAAATTGAAATATGATCACATCCACAGTTTCAGATAACGCTAACAACTTTCGCAGTAGATAATTCTCTGCGAATAACTCTAAAATTATTAAATTAGTGTCTTCAATTGTTATGCGTTTTCAATAATTCTGACGCAATGAAATTTATAATCTACGAACCTCCATTATCATTGAAATACAACGAAATCGGAAAAATTTTTTAAAAATTAATTAAAATAGTTCTGCACAGTCAATAACTCACACTTAAATGACATCTTAATTGTTTAAATATTAAATAAATAAAATTTGGAATATTTAACTAAGTGTTTTGTAAGGCTTTAAACTAACACAATTTCTTTTTATCTCATTATACACACAAGAAGTTCGCAGCTACTAAAGTGATTGATGAATTTTTTAAATGTGTAGAACAAGATGGGATTTCGCCCAAAAAGGAACTATTAATTTTGAACTATTTAAGATTTATAGAAAGTTCATCCTGCAAATTTTTTAATTTCATAATAATAATAATAATATTATTATTATTATTATTATTAT